GATCTTCAGCAACTTCAGCACTTTGGAACTTCGGCACGTCAACACTTTGGAGTTTCGGAACTTCTCTTGCAGCCACTTGGTAGATAACGCCCTAATTCCCACGGTATTATGGAGTTATCTACCAAAAGGCTAAAAGACCTAAATTGGTCTTTCAGACAAATTTACTAATACTAAGTAAAGATTACTTAGTATTAGTAAATTATGCCCCTGCTTGCTATACCGCGAGTAGGGGCATGTCTATTTTGGGGTTTGGGGACTCCTAGTCACCCGGGGCCGGAGGGGTTAATTTTTTTATTTAGGACCCCCACCCACCGCTCAGGGGTGGGGGCCAGGGGGGAGGACATTAGGTCTCCCCTAATTAGTATTTAGGGCCCCCACCCACTTCTCAGGGGTGGGGGCCAGGGGGGAGGACATTAGGTCCCCCCAGATTAGTATTTAGGGCCCACACCCACCGCTCAGGGTTGGGGGTCAGGGGGGAGGACATTAGGTCCCCTCCCTCATTCTAATTTAGGGCCCCCACCTCAAGGGTGGGGGCGAGAGGGTCCCCCTAATTGGTATTTAGGGCCCCCACCCACAGCTCAGGGGTGGGGGCCAGGGGAGAGGACATTAGGTCCCCCCCTTATTCTGATTTAGGGCCCCCATCCGCTGCTCAGGGGTGGGGGCTGGGTGGAGGACAATAGGTCCCCCCTTATTTTACTTTAGGGCCCCCACCCACTGTTCAGGGGTGGGGGCCGGGGGGGCAATAGGTCCCCCTTTCAGGTTAGGAGGGGGAGGGGGGGGCATGTTTTTGTTTGTTTGTTTTTTACAGTGAGCAGCCACAGGTTGCTCACTGTTTAATGGACATGCCCCTACTCGCGTTATAGCGAGTAGGGGCATAATTTACTAATACTAAGTAATCTTTAATAGTATTAGTAAATTTGTACCGTGGGAATTAGGGAGTTAGCTACTTATTCATTCCTGTCATTACATTGACTGGCCAAGTAACTTACATTTTATATGAATGTGTGTTACTTGATTGTTGTAAGTGTTGCAAATGCTTACAGCTGAATCCTGGCTACGTTTGTATACTTTTTATTTAAAATTGTATACAGTGTAACATTCTTCTTCCACTGGGTAAGTATATTAGTACTTAGGCAATACTGTGCTTCAGAACTTTGGCAACTTCGACACTTCGGTAATTTCGGAACTTCAGGACCTCGGTAATTCGGCACTTCGGCAACTCGGAAGGACCCGAATGTCCGAATTGCTCGAAATTCGTCCAAATTCATATTCGGCCCGAAACGAATTGCACATGTCTAATATTCAAGGTGTGGTCTTACCAGCGATTTATAAAGAGGTAAAATTATATTTTCATCCCGAGAATGTATGCCCCTATTTATACATGACAAAACCATACTGGCCTTAGCAACTGCAGATTGACATTGCATATTGCTGCCTAATTTGTTGTCTATAACAATTCCCAAATTCTTCTTGTGTGTGGTTATCCCTAGTTCACTACCATTTAGGGTGTAAATTG